TATATGCATATAGATTTTATTTCAATAGATTCAATGTCTAATCTGTTCGAACAACAATTTTATTTTATTAATTTAATTTTATTAATGAATCTTAAATTTATTCATTTATTATATTATATTTATTATTAGCATCTTCAAACGGGTTATTATCTTTGTGTTATAGCATCCGTATTTTATTTCATATCTATTCATATTAATATTCTATCATATCTATTTATACTAAATAATTGTAGGCTATAAAAAGCTTTATATTAAATAAAAAAAAAGTCTATATTTATCGATATAAATTACTTCTAACTCAGCTAATCGTGTATTCCACGTGTACGTGTTAACGGTTCACCGAATAAAGGTTCAAAGCTCTAAGAACTCTACGATAAAGAAGTTTGAAACCAGGTGTAGGATTACGATCGAACAGGAGCCGCGTATTTGTTAGAGGGTCGCGTTACCGTTTCGCTCGACATCAGCTGTTGGGACAAGTTTACGACGAGCGCGCGACATCCTTCTTACCCGACACTGGAATGGAAAACAAATAAATGTCGCGTACGAGGTGGTTAAATGTGACCGCGTGCCGCGCATGCTCAGACATCACTTGAAATTCTACGTACGCCGTCGGCGTGAGAACACGTACGCCTCGATGCCACCGGTATGCTTTTGTTAACTCGAAGTCATATTAAAAGAAAGTGAAATGCTTTGAATTATACGTACACGTACGAAAAGAAAGTCGTCCGTGACGGGTCGCCATTGAACCGTGTCGATAGCGAATTTTTTTCGCAATCCAGTCACGAACTGTTTAATTTCTAACTGCAATACTTTAAATCATATCTCGTGACGAAACTTTTTGCGACTAGAAAGTATTTGCATGATCTAAATCTCTTAAACGATATTTTTAACGAACTATCTATTTTCAACGACGTATTGACTAATTAAATTCGTAATTATATATCGCAAAGTTAATATATAGATTAATTTCGGCGTAATTTCGAAAATAAAGATGTAATAAATGTAAAAATAAGAAGTTATTGATGACTCACCTTCGGCTTCTCCCGTTTCTTCTTAATGATGAGTCCATCGTTCTCGATATAATCGGGCACCTCCTTCCGGTTACTGAAATTGAACACCATGGTATTGTTTTGCTGGTTCCAAGGTTTCGTCTCCCATAATCCGGCGCCACCTGAATTCGACTTTTTAGCAGGTTGAATTTCGTCCGCGCTCTTCAAGCTAACCACTACTTTGGTTGGTTGTTCTATGCTCTTCACTCGATTGATCAGATTCTTCTCCAACTCTCGATTGCTCAGATTTTGCTGAGGATGTTGCGTCTTGGTGGATACGAGGGGTCTGATTATCCCTATCTGTTTCTGGGGAGGGGAGTCGGTCTTTTGGCATCTTATCGTCTTCGACTCGTTTCCCTGCGGATACGAACTGTTGGTCGAGGACTTGATCAAACCCAGACTGCAGATAGCACCGATTGGTTTCGTTTCAACGTTCGCTTTGGTCTCCGTCTCCTCCTTAACATCCTCGTTCTTTCTGTCGTTCTTGTTGTCCAACTCTAATCTCTCTTGCAGCCTGGAGACTGTCTCTTGATCCGTTACAACGTTCGCGGAACCTCCGGACAAAAACGACTTGCCCCGGGATTCTAGCGACGACAACTTCGTTTCTGTTCGTGTGTCCGGTTGATTTTGCTCGTCCATTGGTTTCTGCCCATTCTGTTTGAATCCAGGCAAGTAACTCTTATTGGATATCGGTTTATCGCTAAAGCAAAATTGCATGGTGACGCCGGTTCTCGCGATATTCTCCAACGCCGTTTTCGAAATCGTCTTCGGGCCATCCAGTTCCTCTCGCTCGTGCTCATCGTCGCTGTGATTCGCGTTGTCGATCGGCGACTTATCCTCAATCTTCTCTCGTTCAGTCGGACTCTGTATCCTCTCCGTAGGCTGTTGCTGCCTAGGATGTTCCACGATGCTCACTATGTTCCCATTCTCCTCGATTTGTTGCTGCCGCGACAACTTTCCATTGTCGGGCATGGACGTTTGTCTGAACAACTCCCTGCTAGGACTCGGAGGCGGTTTGTGGACGGGACTGGAATTCTGTCTGGTCAGATCCTTCATCGGGGATGGCGGGCTGTGCACGCGCGGCGAGCTCTGCCTAAGCGCGTCCTTCATCGGGGACGAAGGGCTCTGCAACCTGGGCGAGGATATTCTGGGGGAAAGAACGGGCGTTACGGGCGGTGATTTGATGCTGATCTCCAGAGAGGATTTTAATTTACTTAATTGAGGCTCGGGACTGGGCGCGGGCGAGAATTTCAATTTGAAGGATGGCTCGGGCGACGGGGACGGGGAATGCGACTTCTCGATCTGCTGGAATTTGCTGACCACCGAGGACACAGACTGCACTATAGGATCCGTGATTACGCCATCGATGTGATACTCTTCCTGCCCGTCCTGAGTCTCGATCAACTCCGCCGTAGGTTTCTGCGGCAACACGATCTTCTTCGGGGAAGTTGGAATCGGCCTGGAATTCCCGTTTACAAATGGTTTAGGTTGAATAGGTGGTTTCGGCCCTACCTTCTTCTGTGCCTGCGCCTTAAACGTGTCATTGATCGTTTTAAACGTGGCCACTTTCGCGGCAACTTCGCCTTTTGGTTTCAACTTCCTCGCGGATCCCTCGAAGATCCTCATCGTCGTCTTGACTAGATCCGGGGGCGGCCTTTCCGTTTCAGCCAACAACGGTTTGATCCTCTTCGGTTTGTTCACGGGTTTCGGCCTGTCCAGCTCGCTCAATCGACTTTCTATTTTCACCGGGTTACGATCGATCAGGATAATATGATCGTTGACCGGTTCCTGTTTCAAACCATTCGTCGTGGTAGCACGACCGTGGGATACACCGTGGGTACTACCAACTTCATCTGCCCCATTGTACCTCAGTAACGTTTCGACGCTTCGTGCTCGTTTCATCGATTCATTGCCGCGGGAAGCATTTCTATACCTGTCGGTTTTCGCGGCAGCACCATTAGTCGTTCGTTTCGTGTATTTTCTCACGTTTTTCTCCCCATGTTCCTCATCACAATCCAAAAGATCCTCGAGACTCGCCGCTCGTCTAAAACGTTGCACCGAGACGCGATTCTTGTTCATCTCTTTGAGAGTGAGGTTAAGATATTTGCTCTTTAATTTATTCACTATTCCCGGTCCGTATTGCAGCTCTTCCGAACTGTCGCTTTCACCGTCGTCACTCGCCTCTCGATTCCTCGCCATTTCTGTTTCGATTTTACCAGTTTTCATTTTCGCCAAATCCGCAAGAAGATCTCTCTCCACTTTGTTGCTTCTACAGCCACGATGCTCGTCGCAATTTGACAACAAATCACTGCCTTTCCCGTCCTGCTTGGATTCTTCGATTTCCAAACCGTCACCTTGTTCCGATTTTCGTTCCATGTCCGTCGACGACTTACTCATCATATCGTTCGCAACATCCTCCGAGTCGGAGCAGAACGAAAGATCCACTTCGAGACGCATGTTGCACGCGACTGTCGAGGCAACGTCCGTAGTGGCGGTTGTTCCGCTGCTGACGATGGCGCCACACGCCGGTCCTCTTGAGAAAAACGGCGAAGATGATACGACACCAGCTATGGCGCTTCCACCACTACTACCGTTAACACTCGATATATTCACCATGTTCACACTATCTTCTCCGCTGCTCGTCGTCCGCGTTCTCGATGACACATTGCCGGCTATACACTGTTCTTGAACACCGGTCGAATCAATGAATTCTGTTGTTCCACTCGTTGTTGTCGTCGACGAGCCAATTACTGCGGAACATAGCTTCACACTGGCCCCGTTACTCGCGAGAACTTTGTTTTGTTGCCTACGACGCTGTATTAAGTCTCTTTTCCACTGTGGCACGTTACTGCCGTTCGTTTCACCGGCGCTTGTCGTCGTGTTGCTGGTGGTAGCCATGTTGGACGCGCGATGGGCGCGTTCGCAAACGCGCGCCCGAGTTTACGCGACACCACAATCCCTTTCGATTCGTTCCGATTCTCTACTTGTCAAAATAAATATTTTTTTCTTCACACGCAATATTTGGTATTCATACTGTTGGCACAAATTCTTCTAACAACAAAGAACATGAGCAGCTGCGAACGTTCGATTTAAAATCGATGTCTTTGACACATATGTACGTTCGCACGCGCACGTTGACAGAAGACACGTTTCGTTCAGCCGGGAATAATTTATATCATTTTTCCTTTTACTTTGAAGAAACAATATTCTCGATAGATATTTGTTATTAAGGAGCCATAATGCAAATAATAGAAATAGCCATTGATTCTATACGACTGTATGTACATATATGAAATCTAAAACAAGTTTAATAAAGAAAAATCCAAAAAAAGGCACCTGTCGTAAGAAAAGCACACGCATACACACATGCACACTGCGCACAAAATCGAAAGGAACGAGCAGCACGATTCGACGTATCGTACACGTACTATTTCACTCTATGATAACTATCATGTCCGTTTCCTAGTGCAACGTTGTACTCGGCAAAGGTTCGCCAATCGTTGGAAATCGAAAGTATCTGCCTGTGAGGACGCACTCACGCACGCACTCACGCACTCATACGAAACGCCGACGAAAGGCGAGCACGGCCGTCCTTACTCGTTCGCACGCACTCCACTCCTGTCCCTGTCGAGATATCGCCTCTCTCTCCCGTCTCCTATGCACCAGTCCCCTCTCGTAGCACGAAACAGCCCATCAAAATCTCTCTTCTCTTTCACCCCTCTTCTTAGTCCCGTTTTCCTTTACTATCGTTCTCTCCACCACCCTGACGTTTACTCTTTCGACCGATCAAATATCGCTGCTATCGAATATCGGACCAATAATCGAAATCGCGTTTAGGGTTACGAGGGTGTATCGCGAGCGAAACTTCGATTCCAGAGGGCGGGAAATATAAAGCGAAAAAGAAAAGGGGTTCGTATAAGTGTTTAAAATTTTGAATTATTATTTTAATACGCAATATAATATTTTAACAATAATATTAAATTTGCTATTTATCTTTGGACCTTTATCATTAAACGAAGTTAGTAAAAAAATGTTACATGTGTCGAACACATTTAGAACAAGGGGGAAACGCATCCGGTGAATAATAATAATGAATGTATGAGAAAAACAGGACGGATCTGAGAATCGGAACGAACGATGACCTAAAACAAGGAATCCCGAGCATTCGGCTCGTTTCCTCGCGTTCCGTGACGAGGCGAGTCCCGCTCGGAATGTTTGTTCATTGCACGCTTTACGCGAAACTCTTGTGTGGGTGTTATTATCTCGTTATATTGTAGAGTGGTGTTTTATACGCACGGGATTATATTAGCCCTGGCTGGTTCACGAAATAGTTCACTTCCGGTGTCGGCATTGCTATCAGAGCGTGCGAAGATTCATGGTAATATTCTAGACGTTGTCTAGAAAAAAAAGAAAAAAGAAAATATTTTTAAAAATACTTACCTGGAATCGATCATCTTGCAAAAATTAGATTCATTACGCAAAAAATTTGCAATAAATAGTTTATCGATTGTCGTTTGTTCGATTAAAATATAATTTTAAAAATTTCTAATGTTTTTAAATGAAAAGTAAATCACTATTATAAAGATTATGTGAAATATATATTTATAAACATGTATGTATTTATGCACATATGTTTTATATAAGAGATTCAAAGTAATTATGAATTATAAGATGTATTGTGGAAAGTGAAGAAAGAAACTCAATGTTCTATGCATTTTAACAATGTGAAAAATTCATAATATAATGTAAGTTTCATTGAATCATAAAAATGCTTATAAATCTTTATATGAAATCTATACAATTTATGCAATTATTTAATATGATCTAACATGAATGATGTAATAAAGTTATCAGAAAATCTGGAATGTGGTTTTAATAATTTATTTTCATATGAATATAATAATAGTAAAGTGTTTTTTACATCATTTTTACATTTTAATTAGTTCGACGGCAATTTTTTATTCTCAGATATTCATATATATTATAGTTCAATATTGAATTATTATTTTTAATTATTTTGAAAAAAAAATATTATCAAGTAACCGTGGAACTATAGAAATATTTTTTATTTTCCATTTTTTTTGTTATAATTATATTATTATGAATACAAGCTTTTAAAATTGGAAGTTTGTAACGTGTAACTTACTTGTTTTTTCCTTTTCATAAATTAATTTATATTTGAATATGTTCAAAACTCGTACGATGTACAATTTCATTGGTTGGAAAAGCTAACGTATCTTTAGTATTTGTAAAGTACAAGATAATATGGCCGCCAGTTCTTGACGCGTACGGAACCAGTTTCCAATATGAAACCGGTTTGGAACTAGTTTTCATTGGTTTTTCGGCCCTCTGCAAGACCGTACCACGACCGAGATTGGCACTTGTGTTGTACTTCTCTCAGAGATTGGAACGGAGGTTACGTTACGACTGTGTGCTAATATGGCCGATATTACAGAACAGAAAGGTAAGAAACTAGTTTTCAAACAAGGTTAGGTCCTATTATTGCCCTGTATTCATTGTTGATTCTATGCTGTTTCGAATGCCTGGCGCTCATATCGTATATTTCGAAAGTCAACCGTAGACACGTTTTAGATGCCTATAATAAACAATCTTGTTTTACGCGGGAAACTTGAATGCTTCTGCTGCTTTTTTAAAATTTTAATTTTTACTGTTAAAAATTATTTTATATTGTTAATAAATATATCAATGGACTTACTTGTTTTTTCCTTTTCAATTATTGTTTTCTGCTTATTTAAAACATGCTTAAATCACTTTGACGTGTAAATATATTCTTATAAAAGGAGAAACCCTCGACGCACAAATGGAAATCAAAGTGGAACCACCAGTACAAGGATATATTGAAGAAGAACACGAAAACAGTTTTCCCGGTTTTGAAAGTAACAACGCAATTCCTTCTAGTGCTGATGTTGGTGCTTTAAATTTGTGGACCAGTAAGGCTACTGCATGTCTTATTAATCAATATAAAAAATATCATTCGATGGTAGGGCAATCGACTCAAATTCGAAGTTTACGTGAGATGTTTGAAATGATCTCTCTTGAGATGCAAAAACATGGATTTTACTTCAGTCCTCAGAAATGCGAGAACAAATGGCGTGTTCTAGAACGAAAATACAAAAATCTTGTGTTTCGAGAACGATTAAAAAAACCTGGTAGGATGAGACATTATGGACAATGGGAACATAAAAGAGCGTTGGATGAAATATTTAAAGAAAAGAAAAAGCATATGTACTTGGATAAAAATGATTTTCCATCACCACCTGGTTCTGCAAGATATATGTTTATCTTACCAAAACAAGTGAACGAAGAATCGAGCAACATTGTTGTCAATCAGCAACAAGAAGATCCTCTTGCGGCATCGCCAACGAATTCTTCTACAAGTAACAAAAATGAAGCAGTGGATCAGAAAGAAACTCTGACGGCACTCTTTGACAAATTTCTTGATGAATTGGCAAAACATTTTGCTCTTGCGGAGAAAAATAAAGAAAAAAGACATAAAGAAAAAATGGCAATACGACAAAGTGAATTAGAAGTTCAAAAAAAACTTTTAAAATTAAAAGAACAAAAAGTTGAATTACAACGACTTCAAATTATTGCTGCTGCACAGCATATACATTTGAACATGTAGCAAAAACAAACTAATATTTTAACTCAAACAAAAAATATTAGAACAATGATTTTACGTTTAAATTTTTTGCAATTTGTTTGCAATTCTTATTAATTGTTTTTATATAAAATATTTTGTACGAATATACTTTAAAATTATAAATAATTTTATTTGTGATAATTATTGCAATATAAATATAAATATATATTTTTCAATACCTTTTTATACGTATTAAATCGTTTTCGGCAGATTGGACTTAATAGTTGTATAAGAAGCCTACAGGTGGTAGCACTTTCCATCCCGTCAATTCTATAGCTGTATTACAGACAAAGAAAGTAAACTGTAAGAAAAAGATAGAAAACGAATATATAAAGTGAATACTGGTGCCATCTGTTGTGTATTGAAAGAATTATATTTCTAGAAAAAGATTATAAAGTGAATAGTGGCGCCATCTATCGAGTATTGAAAAATTATATTCGTAAAAGAGTATAACGCGAATGCTGGTGCCATCTGTTGTGTATTGAAAGAATTATATTTCTAGAAAAAGCGTATAAACTGAATGGTGGCGCCATCTGTTAATTGTTGAAATAATTATATTTGTAAATGAAGTCCAGAGATGGCGCCACTGTTCAGTATTGATAGAATTATATTTATAAAATAAATCGAGAGATGGCGCCACCATTAAGTATTCAGT